GTCGGTGAGTATAATGGTGGCAACAACGTTGATTTCTAATGAGTGAATCGACTGAAAATCGCAAAACAATATCATCGAAAAAATCTTGCTATTATCGACGATTGAAAAGGCAAACGAGAGAAGGGTGATATAAGTTTTGGTCAAGAAGCCGAGAGGAATGTTTTTGTGGTGATGGAGAGTGTTGTCGTCCCTATTTGCCGACATCGACGATAATCTTTGGAGTGTTTTTACAAGATTTCAAACATATAAGAACTTACATGTAATTTTCAAGGGTGTTTTTGTTAGATTTCAAACTTTTGAACACCAATTTGACCTATCAATCTACCTGAGACCCGACCACTTTTTTGAATTTCACCCCGGGTTGGGTTTTAAAACATTGGGTTATATTTCATTATTGATTCGATAAAGTTACCAAATCAACACAAATATAGAATTACAAATCAAGAGCACAAATAATGATTAAAAGCCAACTTTTTGCATATTATGACCTACAAAAGTGCTTATTGTTCAAGACTATACAAAGCTAACAGACCCATAAAATTGGGACATTGAAAGTGGGGCATTGGCCAAAGAGAAATTCCACCCGATTGACACAACATACAGTGTGACTAATCTATACCTTGATTAAAATCAATTAAATCTGTCAAAACCTCTCTAAGCCTTGAGCATGAAACTTAAGAAATTTCTTGCTTTCCAGTGGCTACCTAAGGTGGTGTTGAGAACAAGGATTCTCACTAGTTACAATGCTGTCAGGAGTGGCACCAAATAATAATGTACACCTCATGAAACTGTTCGTCCGTAGCAGACGGATGCAATATAAAGATTCTTAGCCCATTTTTCCTGCAAAAACAGTTAAAACTTTCAGACCTGGAGATTATATTGAAAACAGTAACAGATGAAATGCAATACATGATGAAAATAGATGATAAACCTTGACATGTGCACTAGGAAAAGCTGACGTTCGAAGAGTTTCTTGGGTTTCATCTGCAGGTTTTCTCCTTGGCACGCTAAGAACAAAAGCAGCCTGGTCCCAAGTTGCTGCAGTAGCTGTGATACGGTATCCGGAATCCCACCGCCGATGAATACCTTCGCTTGGGTAAAGAAAATCAAGTTCAACAACCTGAAATAAACGCAGAACATCAGTAAGTTATAAGTGCTTCTACCATATTAAACATTGGCATGCAACATCGGTAATTCCAAGATGACCTGGTCAGAAAATCCTGCACCGCGAGACATAACCACTCCCCATCTACTGCCAGAGGTGGCCATAGCAGTGACATAGAAACCCTCTCTCCATTTTTTATTGATCCACTTAAAAGGAAATGAATCGCTGACTTTGTAAGATTGCTGCAAATACTGTGTCCCTGCACACAATATATAATTTATAGTCAATTACAATGAATTTAAAAACTCAAATGCATACAGAACCAAGAAGTAAAATATCTTAGACTAACCCTTTGACATGACTACTAAGGAACTTCCATTTGTAGCTCCAGCTATTGCACTGATGTAATAGTTCTTTTCCCACTGCTCCATTATCCATTCCTGCACAGACAGCCAAACAACAAATTAGTTAATATATCCTAAAAAAACCTATTTTACACGATAGTAAATTTTATTAAGGGATACAACAGTGTGACAGTGCAGAAGAGCAGACAACAAATTGATAAATAAAAAAGAGCATGTACCTTATGAAGAAAAAAGGGCGAGAGTTCATAGACTTGTGCACTGAAACCAGTGCCAGCATCCATAATAAGGGCCCACAGATTTTGACATGAAGCTACACTGCTAATAAACAATCCATCCTCATTCCCTTTCTCAATGTGCTGCGCAAGCCTTGCATCTGCCACATTATAGTGATACCTACAATGGCAAGAAAAAGCAAAATTCTGATCATAATGATTCAAACTATTTGATCATTCTTAATTAAATTTAGGAAATAATGCAGACACTAAAAATGAAGGACACAAATTGCAATAGACAGGAAAAACTATAAACTCAGTAAAGCCTTAACCATTCCAATGAACAACAGACCCAAAAAGCAAAAAGAACTGNGGGCATTGGCCAAAGAGAAATTCCACCCGATTGACACAACATACAGTGTGACTAATCTATACCTTGATTAAAATCAATTAAATCTGTCAAAACCTCTCTAAGCCTTGAGCATGAAACTTAAGAAATTTCTTGCTTTCCAGTGGCTACCTAAGGTGGTGTTGAGAACAAGGATTCTCACTAGTTACAATGCTGTCAGGAGTGGCACCAAATAATAATGTACACCTCATGAAACTGTTCGTCCGTAGCAGACGGATGCAATATAAAGATTCTTAGCCCATTTTTCCTGCAAAAACAGTTAAAACTTTCAGACCTGGAGATTATATTGAAAACAGTAACAGATGAAATGCAATACATGATCAAAATAGATGATAAACCTTGACATGTGCACTAGGAAAAGCTGACGTTCGAAGAGTTTCTTGGGTTTCATCTGCAGGTTTTCTCCTTGGCACGCTAAGAACAAAAGCAGCCTGGTCCCAAGTTGCTGCAGTAGCTGTGATACGGTATCCGGAATCCCACCGCCGATGAATACCTTCGCTTGGGTAAAGAAAATCAAGTTCAACAACCTGAAATAAATGCAGAACATCAGTAAGTTACAGGTGCTTCTACCATATTAAACATTGGCATGCAACATCGGTAATTCCAAAATGACCTGGTCAGAAAATCCTGCACCGCGAGACATGACCACTCCCCATCTACTGCCAGAGGTGGCCATAGCAGTGACATAGAAACCCTCTCTCCATTTTTTATTGATCCACTTAAAAGGAAATGAATCGCTGACTTTGTAAGATTGCTGCAAATACTGTGTCCCTGCACACAATATATAATTTATAGTCAATTACAATGAATTTAAAAACTCAAATGCATACAGAACCAAGAAGTAAAATATCTTAGACTAACCCTTTGACATGACTACTAAGGAACTTCCATTTGTAGCTCCAGCTATTGCACTGATGTAATAGTTCTTTTCCCACTGCTCCATTATCCATTCCTGCACAGACAGCCAAACAACAAATTAGTTAATATATCCTAAAAAAACCTATTTTACACGATAGTAAATTTTATTAAGGGATACAACAGTGTGACAGTGCAGAAGAGCAGACAACAAATTGATAAATAAAAAAGAGCATGTACCTTATGAAGAAAAAAGGGCGAGAGTTCATAGACTTGTGCACTGAAACCAGTGCCAGCATCCATAATAAGGGCCCACAGATTTTGACATGAAGCTACACTGCTAATAAACAATCCATCCTCATTCCCTTTCTCAATGTGCTGCGCAAGCCTTGCATCTGCCACATTATAGTGATACCTACAATGGCAAGAAAAAGCAAAATTCTGATCATAATGATTCAAACTATTTGATCATTCTTAATTAAATTTAGGAAATAATGCAGACACTAAAAATGAAGGACACAAATTGCAATAGACAGGAAAAACTATAAACTCAGTAAAGCCTTAACCATTCCAATGAACAACAGACCCAAAAAGCAAAAAGAACTGATAATATCATTAAACCAACCCTAGCCAAATCTGCGAAGCAGCTAACAAATGACATGAAGCATGATTATACCTTTGCTTCATCGGTCGACGAGCGTTATAAACACTAATCCATTGTGTAGCTGGCATTCCCATCCGAATCTTCTTCTTCGGTTGTTCATCATCTTCATCCTCCATTGTTAGCCGACCTCTCTTATGACCAACTTGATAAAGCTTCACAAGTTTAGAAGTACAAGTTAGGTACACCAAAATCTTTCATCATTCAAATTCAGTATATCTAACGATACCTTCAATGGCAAAACCACAATAACTACAAGATAAATAAACATAACCAATACCTTCTGTGCACCTTCTGTGTTAATTGGCCTGATATCTGGATTTGGACCAACAATCCCATCAAAGAGGGAAATGTATTTTGTGTAATTAGGTTCTTCATCAAACTTCAAGTTCACAACATACTCAACGAACTGTCTAAAAGGCTGTGGACAGAAGCAACATAGAGCCTCTGGAGACGTTGCCATTTTTTTCTTGCAAACAAGGAATCCTTTATTCTCTCCCTACAAAAATAATAATGTTAAAATGTTACATGCAAGATCAAGCACAAACATCTATCCTTTCTCATTCCTTTTTTATATCCCCACAAAATACAAATTCCTACAAAAGATAAGAAGGACTACTGACCTGGTATCCTTGCCAAGGCAAACGACCTCGAAGAAGGAAAATGAGTGTGTAAGCAAGTGATTCTAGATCATCTCTCCTACTCCCAGTTCTACCTAAATGGGCATGTACGCTAGCATAACGCACAGTTCCTCTGCCAGACAGGAATAACCCTTTAAATTAAGAGAATAAAAATACCAGAAATAAAAAAAATTTCAAACCAACCATGACAAAATTATGGTCATACCTGAAAACATCTGGCCGTTGATCATATTCAACATGCAATCCAGTTGAACTATCTCGCCATTTAGTAGCTGATTGCCAAAATCAGGTCATAAATCTATGACTTACAAAACATTTTTGCAAAAAGAGTGCTTAACATAAGAAACAAAGTGATAAACAGTTTACCTAATCCAAGGTCAACAAG